ACGCTCTGGTCAGACCTGTTGTTATCTCAACCATTCGTACTCCACGTTGGGCATGACAAAGAACTGTCGTGGTTTAAACCCAGAACCACACAGATCGCTGCTTGGGTCAGGCTGGATATTGTTTAGTGGGTGGTGAGCAATTGTATCCTCTTCCTTTGTTATTTCCCTTGTCATTATTATTATTGGTGGTAGCAGTAGTGGTTTGTATTACACCTTAGTTGCTGGATGGCTGTTATCTCAACCCGTGGGAGTTACATTCTTTTGGTTGTCTTCTCCATCCCTCCGGGAGCAGGAGAAAGAAGAAGAGGGTGAGTGAGCGAACGGCTGCATGGTTCTGAGTTACTTGCTGGGCTTAAACCATGACAAGGAGGTATGGGGGATAGTTCACTGAAATCCTTTTTGATTGATTTACAGCACTGCTATAGTAATTATTTCTTGTTGTTTAAACAAATATAATATTTTTGGCTACTTACTCAAAAATATGTGTCATTAGTGTCAACACACGAATCACAGTCTGAGAAACAATCACAGCTGTGCAATTGGAGAAGTACTGGACTGGAATTAGCACAATTCAACATGGAATCAAGCTTTTTTTTCGCTTCAACAGTTTCTTGAAACAGACGTTTGCCAAATAAGAAGTAAAACTGAAACATGAGTTCCAAACATAATTTTGAGGGAGGAAAAGAGGCAGGAGCAGAAGGAACCCCTAAAAGCAACAGTCTCTTTTCCCCCACTGAGCTGGATGGTTTTCTTTATACCCTTTCATACAACCCACCCCTTGAGTTACTCCTGTTGGCATCATCATTTCCCAAAAACGTTGGAAAAAAGTGGTTGCCCACACACAGCAGCAGTTTTCACCCAGCAGAGATCTCTCTTCTACAGCAACAAAGCAACAATTAGGATTAAGCCTGAGGCTCAAACAGGAAATTCCTTCCTCTTCCAGTACTGATAAAATCACCAGCCTGCCGTCCTCTGAGGTTTGCTAATATTTTCTGATGTCTCTTTTGGTTTCTCCTTGACCTAGCTTGGAACCAAAAGTCTAAGTGTCTTTCCTGACTAGATTAACAGAGGATCATCTACCTAGGCAGATAAAGGAAGAGTATGCCATACATTTCATAGAATCATTGGTTTCGGTTGGAAGGGACCTTAACGATCATGTAGAGTTCCAACCCACCTGCCATGGGAAGAGACACCTTCCACTAGACCAGGTTTCTTGCTCATTACAGAAATGGTCAATCAGGTCTGAAACATAGTCAGTTAACTACTAAGTTGGTATAATATTACGTGGAATGGATCCACGAATATGTCAGATAGATAGGAAAAATCTCTTAAATGCTGCTATAATAATTCTAACAAAACTAATCTGGTTTTTTTTGTTGCATTTGAGACATTTAGATTACAGATTTATTATGAAGGCTCTCCATTTGGGAATAATAAAATTACAATAATTGGCTGAAAAAAATGTTACTCTTGCTGACAGGAAGGCCTTTTTCAGTTTAATTTACATTTGGTCTGAATCACCTTAAAGCCAAAAATATTTCAAAATTTTCTTCACATCAGAAATGTAAGGAAAGTTTAATTTTGGGCAAAGAATATTTAATTTTGGAAAGATCAGCATCACAATTCGACATGACCTAGAACTGGGGCCTGAGCTTCCAAGGTCAGAGTGACTAGATGAACAAGCAATCTTAGAACTTGTGTAGGAGCCATCTTGTATCCAGAAATTACTTCATTTTCTCTGAAAACTTCTGTTCTGTGCTTACAGACCCACCCGGGGAACCTCTTTTTCTGATAGTGGAAAATTGGGAAGATCATAATGAGAGGGGGTTTGCTTCTGTTTTCCTTTTTTCTTTTTCTTTTTTAAGAGTTAATCCCTTTGAGCATTAGCCAGCAGCTTCTCAAACTCTAGAAGTGTACTTCTGATTTACATTTAGCTGTTCGAATTACAAAATTGGTTAGTCTTTGCATTTTGCTCAGAGGCACAGTAAAGACTGATTTACAAAAAATAGAAATTATTTTTGTGCATTATTTAAGATGTATAATTCTGTCTCTTGTAATTCATTTCTTTTCATTCTGTGGGGCCTACAATATAACAATGCATCTCAATAAAGTGAAAAATGAAAGAGAAATTTAATTATTTCAAGAGATTCCTTAATTTTCTACAAATTGATCCATTCAACTCTATCATGTAAGTAGCCTGATGACAGGGTGATTGTTTGAGTTGGGTTTCCAGCACAGAATCTATTGCTATTAAAGACAGGATAAAAATGAAATGTACAATTGTTTTCAAATTTAGTTTGAAATGCAAATTTGGGTATAGCTGTTGACAGGGCTATGGGTTTTTCCCCTTTGGAATAAATAAGAGCAGCAGGTCACTAGTGAAGCATTCCAAATCAAGCATCTGTGACCACTTTGCTTCCATTTTCCTGATAACTCAGTGGTAACTAATAAATCCACAATTACTCAGTGCCAAAAAAATGTTATGCATTTACTCAAATGATGGACAAGTGTGAGGTCCTCAGGCATTTGGAGCATTTTACAAGGGGAGGGACTAGCAAAACACACTCAGATTTCATCCTGATGCTTTTCTATTGTATCTAATCTTCTGTCTATCAAAACACTGGAAAGCACTATCTCCACAGAAAACTTGAAAGATTCCTTTCAGATGTGGTGAGAAACTTTGAGACCAAAGCCATGAAAACAGTAAATTATTCAGCTGCCCAGTCATACAGTGAGTGCTCTAAGTCTTTATCCTACTTGTGCTAGCTGAAGTTTAAAAAATTCTTCATTCTTTATCTGAACGATAAAGCTTTCCAGAAAAGCCAATGAACTAGAGGTTAAACAAAAAAAACATAAACCTGAACAACAGATTAAATTTCTCCATAGAAAGAAGAAAACAACCTAGTAGAAACAGGGAAATACTGACTGTATTTAACTGAAATTTTGTAAGTTCTTACACTGTTTTTTTTTGTTGCTAGACTTTTTTTTGCAATCATGATAAGAAAATAACAATAGAACATAACATGAGAATAACCATACTGGCTCATATTAAAGGTATATTTAGCTCTGGGCTAAGCATATAGGCATTTGGATGTGCTGATTTCAAGTGATTGCCTCTAGTACTAGATTGGAAGAGCTAGTAATTTGTGCATTACCCTCCATCTTCTCAACAAGTGACTTTAAGCAATTCCTATCCTCTCTATTTTGTTTCCCTTATTCTGTTGAGCAACGCAGGCAGAGAAGCCAGTCTATTTAGTTATTCCTTGTACCAAAGCTCATCTCTTTCTTTGATTGCTTATGCAATCCATCTGGGTACCTTTCCTGTTTTTTTTTTCAATGTTCCTGTTAAGATAAGGAAAATCAGAAAGGCATGGTGTTCCAAGCATAGATACAGCACAGATTTAAACAGGGGAATAACAATGATCTGTACTGTTTCTTTTCCCTGTGGTAATGATTCCTGGGGGGGAGGGAAAACTGCAGTCTATTCACCTTTTGACTGCTGGAGACCAAAGTACTGCTGGTTCCATAGAACTGACTACTGTTAAAAGTGACATGGAAAGATAACTCAGAATGCAGTTTATGAAGATTAGGATTATTCTTCTGTATGCGTCAGTACACATTTGTCTACATACAGTTTGGATCTTGTTTAACACTTTTTGGAAATCCAACAAGTTCTCCCTCATCCACTTGCTTGTTAATTCTTCAAAGAAAGATCTCCAATATGCTCACAATGCGTGGCTTTCCCTTACAAAATGCATTAGGGCTCTTTGCCAGTATGTCATGTTTATTCACATCTCAACCTTACTTCTTTAGATGGTATTTCATCACTTCCCTTACAATGGTCACCAGGCTTACTGGACAGAGGTTTCACCCACCTTTTTAAAATGCATTACTGTGTTTCCCATTTTGCTGATACTAAAGGTGTTTCAGATGAGAAGTCATCCACCTCAAGTCAGTAATTTGGCTATTTCTACTCTGAGTAGAAATCAAACCTTCAAGTAATCTCTGATCAGTGTGATACATGAATGCAACAAATCCTTTAAAAATGTAATAAAATAGGGCTTTCTTATTCATGATGAAACATTAAATTTTCTTTAAGATTATAAACAGCCTATTGTCAGGCCTGACAAATTTCAGCCCTGCTCTAATGACATTTTTAAAGCCTAGTTTCTTGGGACTGCTCCAAACAGGAAACATCTGGTTTGCCCCATTATAAACTTAAGTCTTTACTTCTTCTTATACAAGAAAGTACTTTTCAAAAATGGAAGATTAAAGATTTGCATTTAGCCCAGGCTTGCTTTCATGTTGTCAGGTACTGTACATTAATTGCAAGTACTCTGAGTGTGCCATTGTGTTTCCTGATTAGGTCTATTTTTCTAATTTATAATTATTGTCATTTGAAGTTTTTTAATAGCATCATTTATACACTGTAAAAAATGTATCAGTTGTATGTAACTAGCAGACTTGATTTTGAACAAGACTCAAGTGTTTCAATAGTGTGTTACCGGAACAAGAAAGGGTATATTAGCCCACAGAATACCCCACCTAATTACAAGGCAAAGTGGGAATCAAAAGGGATAATGTGATGATATTCATCCATACAGAATGGTAGTAGTCCACACACACTGGCAACTGAATTGTTGTATAATCTTTTTTCTAGGCAAACCAAAATCTTAAGAAGGAACTTAATAACAAAGGGCTGTTTTACAGACACTTCCAAGGAGTCTTCCAAGTGTGAATTGTTACATCGGAAAATTATAGAGGTATTTATCTGAAAATGTAGCAAGTAGATGTTCACAGAATAAGACAGTCACTAAAAGATCTTCAGAGACAAGACAAGCTCATGTTTAATATGAGGCAGAATGAGCCGGGAGAAGAAAAATCAGATTTGTTCAAAAAAAAGAGCAAAGTTGGAAAGTTATTTTTATGACATTTCAGAAATATATTAACAAGAAAAGACCGCATTTATTTGGCCGAAAGGTAAAAAAGTTGCACAATAAAACTTGTCATGACCTGAGCTTTATGCATGGATGTATACAAACGACCATTTATCTCCAAGACTCTAGACAGAAAGAATTTGTTAGAGACAAGAGAAGCCAGAATGTGAAAAATGAAAGGGATGTGCAAATCAGAGAGGATGTCTGCCTCAGAATGAACACAGAGAGCTAAAGGCATACGCAAAACTTGGTAAAGGTCCATATTAACAATACTGAATTTGCAAAAAAGTCCAGGAAAACGTAGGTTAGAGGCAGATTTAGGTTTTACCATCTGTTGTTGGTGACTCTGGATTGTAGACAGTAGTTAAATGAAAATATGCAAATGTTGTTAACCCCAGAGATCAGATAACAGGGAAAGCATGATGGGGATTCAGGACAGAATGCTGTGGATGAAAACACTGAAAAAAAGTATCCTATAAAGAACACACTGAAGGGAAAGGAGAGAAAAGATGAAAGGAAATTATGCTACAGCATCCATCTTTTCCATTATTTTAGCCATTCAATCAGATGATTTCATTATTTAGATCAATAACAATAATTTACATTCTTGTGGTATTTGCCCCAAAACTTCCTACAGTGGAAGGACTCCATTGAGTCAAACAGGCTTGGTATCAGTGTCTGACCTGCTCTCTCAAATATAACAAATATACTTTTGTTCTTTTTCGAAAGGCAACTTGCCTAAATCAAATTAGCATATTGAACTATTGTTAGTGCTAATTAACCAGTAAATCAACAGTTAACCAATTACCATATCAGTCGTCCCCAGAGTTGAGTATTTTAATTTAGTTTCAGCAAATGACCCTGTCAAGTAGAGTAAGGCATGTATATGATGCCATAGAAACAATTTTCTTGTTATTTGAAAATGAGAAGAGGTAATAGATCTACATTTTTAGAAACAGACTTGTTAGAAAGTCAGAAAACAGACAGTCTGGTTTAATTATGAAATTAATTGATTTTTAATCCCTAAAGTAATATATGGTTCCAGTTGCATGCAATTGTTTTATTTAATCCAGCAGAGTTGGTTTAATCTGTGTGAATCAAGTGATCAGACTCCGCTTTATTCAAAACATGGAGATTTTTAGTTGAGGAAGACCAAAGTTTCTGATGTTTTCCTAGCCATTTTTCTTAGCTAAGAGGAGGAAAAATGGTACTCTTACTCTGCTCTTCAGTTTCAATTTTTTCTCACAACCTGTACTATGGAATGTGGAACAGATGGGTCGGTCTTTGGTATCCATATTTCAATTTATAGTAGTTTTCAATAATATGTAATACTTAATTTCCAACAGTTTAAATTTTACTTCTTATGTACACTAAGAAATAATTTTAAAACTTGTGTTTTCTTGAGAAGACCACACACATTTAGGCAAGCAGATATTTTCTGTACACAAAATAAGAATGTGCTTTATACATATCTAGCTCCACAGCTCACAGGTCATGTGGAATAAGGCAATAAATACTTCTCTGTTCTTATGAAATATTCTATTTTATACTGTTAGTCATTATGATTGGTGTTTTACTAAAATCACAGAATCCCTGAAATTGGAAAGGACCACCAGCGGTCATCTAGTCCTTTCATCCAGCTATTGTTTGCAGTAGCTGAAGGCCCTGCCCTTGACTTTCTGTTGCCATCCATCTGCTCTAGCTCACTGCCTCTGCGTCTTGGTGATAAGAAGCTTGCTCAGCTCATAGCTGCCTCACCACATACTCTACCTCTTCAGCTCTTCCTCTGCTTTCTGTTTAGACCAAGATGCCAAACTCTGCACTGTTTGATCAGTGTGCACGCATGAACTGTCTCCTACCAGCTCTGCTAGGTGGGTAATAGATGTCAACTAAAGAGGACTACAAATAGCTCGGATGAAAGCATCCTAAGTAATGTTGTCTAGATTTGCCACAGTCATTTGTCAAAAACCCTGATTACTGGTTATTCTTTTTTAACATTCTTTCCCAAGGCTGAAATTTTTCATGACTTGGAAAAAACAGAACTTAACTTTGCATTAAGATAGCTAGAACATATGCTAAATATCTGTCAATCTTCCTGCTTTTATTTGTGAAGACCTTCAGCTAAAATCCAGGATATTGTTTTATGGCAGAGATGCATATTTTTCTCTCTCACTTAGAAACACCTACAACATACTAGCAAGACTGACTAAAAAATGTTCAGGGCAGCAAGCACGTGTGTGTTTTACATATTTGACTCCAGTTTTCAGGAGGAAAAACCAAATTCTTCATGTACTCTCTACTAACAATTAAGATTGTAATTGAGAGTACCAGGATTTTCTTTCAACATTTTGGCTGGCTGTTTGGATAAACCTATTATAACTAAGAATAAGTAGGAGGATTTTAGGTAAGCAGAAATAATTATCTGAATTAACATAATTAGAGTTAAGTGTTTAATTTTAATTTCATTTAGTTTTACAACAAGCAGTACAGATTACAAGAGAAATTTTCCGCTGCCTTTGAAAGAAAGTACTTCCAGCAGCAGCTGAAGTTTGGATCAGTTACTTGTCTAATAAATTTCCAGCATCATATTCAAGAGCATTTCTAGGTCTTTTAGAGTTCCTTTTCCAATCTCCCCTACTATAACCCTGTTTAACTTATGAAATACTGTCAAACTGTAGTATCAGTAAAATGACTATGAATTAAAATTGCAGTAGAAATCGATTAACTTAAATAATTCACAGCAACATGCAGACTGACCTGTCCAGTAATAGGTTAGGAGCAAATAAAAGCTTTCCTGGATGTTCCATGGAGCGCCAGACTAAGCCAATCATCAGTATCTCTAACCAGGCACATTCCAGTAGATGGACCTGATCGTGGAGTGTTAAATCCACAAATCCTGAAAGAATAAACAGGAGACAGTGAAAACACTCCAGCTTTATAAGTGGAACAACATTATTCAGAAAATCAGGTTAAGCAGCGCACTGGAGCTGGATAACCAAAAGGAAAAAGCAGTGAAACAGACATTTATTTTCTTTACATTTTCGGTTGAGTTTTATTTATCATTAGGTCCACTGTGGCTTCATCCTACAGAAAAATCAGCACTTTTTAGCTCCCTTGTTGTGGGCTGGCTGCACCCTGCCCAAAGAGCAGAGCAAGAGCCAGGTGAGCAACTGCATGCCCATGCCTGTTGCTAGTGGCCTGGAAAGCCAGATGCACACCACAGAAAGGGGCAGCCATCTGCTCCAGTGTCATGCTGCCTGGGGCGTGATGGAGGGAAAATGGAAAATGACTCATAAAATGAAATTATAGCCTTAGTCAGCTAACTCTAGACCCCTTTTCCTGATGGAATGCTGTTTTACAGACTCGTGAATCACCATAACCATACTGCAAGTGTTGTTATCTGTGTGGAAGAGGGCCCAATACTGTATTTCAAATGAACCAGAAATCAAAAGCTGATCCCTGCATATTCAGAACTTGCAGAACTTGCTTATATTTCTTTTGGATTAAAGCACTTGGAGGAAGGAGGTGACCTCTCTTACTCTAGCGTTAAACAACTCTAGAAACAATGAATGTAAAATGAAGAGGTTTCTTATAGCAATCCTAAAACATGAATATGAAAGAACAGTGATGAAGACAGCTATGAAAGCATAATGACAGTGGTCATTCCAGTGTTCATTTCATGGAACAGATTCTATTATTTTCTGTTTGAGAGTCTCATTTTTCATGAGCATTACTTTCAATCCAAAGATATAAGTGAAGGGGAGATTGCATAATATCATTTATTAGACCCTAGAATAACTTATGGCTTAAAATTAACATAAACTTGCTAAAATAAAATGAAAAACAAATATTATTTATCTTTTACTCAGTGTTATGAGTGAAACACATTATTTAACTTTGTCCTTTGTTTGTTTGTATTTGTAATTGATTCATATTAGTCTTTGCAATAGAAGTTATGGGGTAAACTAACTTACCAGCCCAGTAAATGGCAGTGATTTTACTTCTGCCTTGTGTCCTCACTAAATTTATATACTAAGTCAGTTCCAAAGGATATACCTGACATACTCTTGAGTACTATGTTAAGAAAAAGGAAAGAGAAAAAGAAAAAGAAAGCACATACTTTTAAAGTTAAATGTTCTATGAAATACATTTTTCAAATAACAAAGAGGAAGAGAAGGAAACAAAACATAGTTCATGGTAACTTAGAAAATATTGTTATGTTCTGTGAAAGTTGTTGATACAATGATTTTTTTATTAAAACATCTGAGAGAGCTAATCAGTTTATTCGTAAAGAACCATTCAGAAAAAAGAAACAGTTTTGACAAGTCTGAAGTAAAACTCATCTATCAATCATTAGTGAATTTAGACAGTGCAATGCCTGCTATTTTTATGGAAGTGGTAACTACTGGGCAGGAGAAGAGTCGTCTTTTCCTGTGTTTTTCCATTATTACCAAGTGCAAAAATTACTTTCAGACTCCACAGGCTGATGGAATGGCATTTGCCTAAATTACAAAACAGCCTGAAACAATAGAGCTGAAACTTAAAAAAGCAGCATTCTTAACTACAAAGCACTGCACTCAAGAATGAAATTGGCAAAAAGGAACTGCTATCTGTATATGGAGAACAAACAATACCATGTTTTCTATTAAGCATTGCCTTAGTGTGATGACACATACTCGTAATGTTTTTGTCTATGCTTGAAGAGTACCACAGCAATTCAGAGACACAAGTCACCATGTGGTGTCTGAAGTTTGCAATCAGTGCATTACTAGTCAGCTATATTGCCATCATTTCACATAGCTGCACTCTATTCTGCAGCAGATTGCTTTGTTGCTGAAAAACTGAGCTTGTTACAACCATGGCAATTCACTTTCCTGTAAAACTCTGCTCATTCTACAGCATTCTGGATGCCAAAATGCTTTACTTTGTTCTCCACACTGTCTTGGCACATATTCTCAAACCCCTTTTAAGCCCTATCTTTTTACTAGCTTTATTTTTCCCCATCTTCACATGTAAAATTTCAGATTGCACTGAGGCTAAGCAATCTGTACAAAAACTACAGAAAGACAGTAAAAAAGAAAGCTAATAAATTACTTCACTAGTATTGTAGAGGAGGCACATTTTGTCAGCCTGCTCTGAGAATAGAAATACACTGCTCAAAAATGCCAAAATCTTTTAAATACCCGAACATAAATATTGTGCATTAAAAAGTCCTAAAAAGATTGGCCAAAAATATTATCGCTGTCTGGAATATTAACTCTGATTTCAGTGCAGCTAAGGAAGTTTCAAAAAACTGGGATGGAAAAGAAAACTGGTTGTAAGTCCATAGTTTATAGCATTAAATGATCTGTCAGCCTGACATCTATTTTAAGTTCTATAACAAAACAGCTAAACCAAATCTTGATTAATGCAGGTTTAAAAGTCTGTAGTATAATAATACACATCAATTGTAATTCATAAAAAAAATTATCAAATTATCTTGATGGCTTTTTATGTGACATTATAAGTTCAGTTGTTAAAAATAATAGTTTTGATGACACAGACTTCTACGAGACGTTTGATTTTGTAAAGATATGCAGCAGATTAACTGAATTAAAATATTTTAAGTGACACATCTCAGTATATAATGGCAAAGCACTCATGAACTGCATGAAATATTTCTAAAGGAATGCCAGTTTACTTCTTTACCCTAGACAATTTTTTCAATGATGCTGTGGAAAACCAGAAATCATCATTCAGATGTCGTGATGGCATGTGGGAAATAATACAAAAAACCAGTTCATAATGCAAGCAATCTAAATAACTCACTAGCTTCATCATAAAAAATATAGACATAAGTTTAAAACCAAGAACATTAAGCACCTATATAAGATGGAAACAGTAGCAGCTATGAAGAGGACTTGGATGGAGAATAATTAGCCCAGTTTGAGCTTCCAGTGGGAAGCTACATCTAATAAAGATGCTGAACTTTATAAAAAGCCAGAGAAATTCTGAGAGAGTAAGGAAGTCAAATTACCTCTGTGTTACCTGAATCTGGTAACCATTCTTCAAGCAAGGTGAGAAGCTGGACAGAATGATGCACATCAAAATGAATAAAACCTTGAAAAACATGCCCTCTAGTGAGGAATAAGAGTAATCTAGAGACTCTATGTGAAATTAGACTAAGGGGTTAAAAGACTGCAATGGGTACCTATCTAAAGAAAAAAGGATGGCATACCAAAAGGTAATGGCATAACATACGGAAGCCCATGGTGGAAGCCAAACCTACTCCAAATGGCTACAAATGAAGGGCCATTGTTAAAAACAAAAGTAGTTATTATCTAAGCAACATACTAAGTTTTCATGAATTTGTTACCATTAGAAACATTAATCAAGATTTAATTATTATTTTTAAGATATACTCTTGTTCAAGCAAGCTAATTCAGAATAATGTCAAAGAAGGTTAAATTAACTGATGAATAAATCATCAGTCACTTCATCATTCAGAGCATGATGCACTTTAATATTGCTAAAATTATGTGTAGTTGTGTACTGCATTCTCAAATATCAGTGTTCTTTTAATGCTGGTAAGTTTTGGAAGAAAAAGTATTTTTTAATTCTAAATTTTTGTTTATTGTGGTTTAAGGAAAAAGGAAGACCTTCACTTCACTGCTGATACATTAATCAACTGCAGCTTATGGATTTAACCTACATCTGACTCCATGCACCAGACTGACCAGCTGCATCACCTTATGAGATATATCAAAATCCCTGTGTGACTGAAACCCACAAAACCTAGACTGCCATTAAGCCATTCACATATGACATGCTTGGCAGAGAAAGACACTTACAGAATAAAAGCCATGGCTGAACCATCTCTTTTTCACGTACAGATAACTTAACATTATTTTTGAATGTTGCCAACACAAAACACAATGATTGTTCCAGCAACTCATGTATAAATTTGGAAATCTGAACTTCTGAAAAGCCAGAAAGGTCTTCTGAGCACTCAGCTAAGAGTAGGTGGCAAATACATTTATGTTGTGTGTAGAACACAAAACTGCAGTGTTCAAACTAAACTGATTATCCTTTCTAATATAAAGCAGCAGTATATGCTGCATCGGTGACGATATAATCTCTCTCTTCTAGACAATAAGACACCCTGATGCAGCAGTGGGTCCATGGAGGAAAAGCTATAAACTCCCTCCCCTATTTTGGCAAGCATGACTCCCTCAAGGTGACATTAGACTTGGGAATGCAAAATTGTATGACCCTACCATCCTAAAAAAGGAAGACAGAAGCCATCTACAACAGGTGTGAGCAAATCCCTTTGTAAACCTGAGGTCTGGACAGTTGCCCAAAGGGAAGGGTTTCCATAAAAGAGCACAAGTACTGCAGGAAGTAGTATTAGGTAAAACATACACCCCTGACAATGGAGAAGTGGTTTATGCAGAAGATTGATCTCAGTAAGGAACAACATAAAGCTCAGATGGTTTTCATTTATTGCTACTCTAACAAACATTGTGCACCCTGCAGTCCTCTGAAATAATCAACAATAATATGTCAAATTTTGCCAATTAAATATTTTGAAACTAATATATTTATTTTTGCCATTGTGACTTCTGACCTAGTAAGTAATTTTCTATTTTATCAGAAACAGTTTCTATAGCAATTAACATTCTCTGAGACCCCACATCCAGTGCCGTTGCAGATTTAATCCTTCAACAGTAAATCCTCTCATGAGTACTTACTATCAATTTGGGGATCATTAAATTGCCATAATTTTGCAGCTTCTATTAATATTCTTAAAACACAACTACAAGGTGCCCAGACTATTTCTTCTTTCACAACAAATGGTTAAGCAATCTTCTTTTTACATCTGATCCAACTGTAAACCCATCTATACATTTATATCAT